GGGTCAACTGTTTAAAAGTTCGAGTCGGGTCGGGTTGAACCACTGACCCGACCCGACCCGACTCGTTCGGAGCTCTATAAAGAAGTGTCATGTGATAGTTGTGACTCGTGAAATTCCACTAAACAGATTCGTGAATTCTTCTATGAGAGTGATACTTTTTAACTCAAAAATAGCAGCTTTACCAGAAAACCCCATCCTATAGGCACTCATAACCTATAACATCTTGCAAGTTTACGAATTTTACAGAGAGAAATAGGATTAAGAGCCAATGACACACTTTGTTGTAAAACCTCCCAAGATTCTAATTCTGTAGTTAAAGATAAATCTCTCCAGTCATCATCAGATTCAATGTATTCATGGATTGACTCTTCGATTTCTAATCCAGGTTCATTTACATATAATTCATTCAAAATGTTTGCATCAATCTGAGATTCATTTTCAAACACCTCCTTATCAATATATTCATCTGTAATGGGTTTAATAGTTTCTTTCATTTTTTTAGTTTCACAAGCTTTTTTTAAATGCTGATTTCTTTTATTCTGTTTAGGAATTTTAACAAAAAAAAAAAAAAGAAATAGATTTGAGTTAAAAAAATTGTTAAAAATCGCGTCCATAAAAGGAATGATTTTCATAGAAAAATTTCACTAGTTGGCGCAGCATTTGATGTGTTTAGATGATTGGCACCATAGGCCAAAGAAACTACCAGCGGAATCACCCAAGTGACTGTGTTGTATAATAAGTCATTAAGTAATGGCAACAGCACAATTTTGATGCTCCCAGTTCTCCCTGAAACATTGAATAGAATGATAAAAAAACACTGGAAAGAATGTGTTAAGCATTACATCATACACATTTATATTCTTCATTGACGATAGATGCTGTCACAAGTAGAGCAAAAACAAAGTTATTTTCCACAAGATGAAATTCAAGAAACTTGATTTCATTTGCTTGCTCTGGTTGAATAGAGAAGGAATATATCTTTGGAAGAGAAAATAGTTATTCATATTAAACAATAGGAAAAGTTACTCACTTGTTTGTAGCACAAATTGTTTATTATTTCTATTAATTGGTGAAACGTGTACGAAGCAGGGGATTTACATATTAATATAAAAATTTGGGGCACATTTACTAATTGAAGAAAGGGTAATATTATATACAGAAAGGTTCTTTTTATGAAATATACAGAACCTATGTGACAAATAAGGATTAATTCTTAGAGTTGGTAAACACTGTGTAATTCCTGCCACCCCCAGCCCACAAATTTAATCATCACGTCTGTGATAAATGTCACATTGGTTTTACAAAAATTTTGAGCTACAATTTAGTTTCCTTTTTTATAGAATGAATTGCTATTTTCTGTATATTCCATAAAAAGAACCTTTCTGTATATAATATTTTCCTTGAAGAAAATAATCAACTGTGTTTATACAACATACAAAATTTATATTGCACCAAATTTTATGCAAAACAATATATAGGATAAATGTGAAAAAACATGAAAATCAAAAAAAAAATCTTTATTATATGTTAGTAAAAAAAGAAAGTTATGTACAAAATCACCATTTGAAGGTTTCTGCTTTATATTTTATATATGAAATTATTTTGATCAATTTTCTCCTGTGATAGTGTTAGAATTACTATGTTTTCTACTCATTTCAATGGGAATACAAACTTCTTCCAAGGTTCTTTTTGCATTTTTTCTTTTAAATACTGCAGCATAGCTGGTTATCCACCCACGGATAGTCTGGAGTTTTGGAACTTTGCTTTTATCAAACTGGCCTTCTTCTTCTGCCATAACGTTCAACACTTCCAACATAGTTTCAGCAGTGTATCTTCTTGTTCTATCTGCTTCTCCAGCTAAAAAGAAACCTTCCAATAAATTTGTAATTTGCACAGGCATACAATTATCACCACCTTTTTGTCCATATTTTTGGTTGCTTTTCAGTGCCCAATCCTTGGGAAGTTCAAAGACTGATTCAAGTGGTTCATTACCAGCTAAAAATTCAGTAGATAAGCGAAGTTTATATTTTCAATTATTGATTAAAATATAAAAAATAAAATTATACTTGCATATTGGATCAAATGTTGACAAAACATTTTTTTTACTATCTATTGTCTGATCTAATTATTATTATTAAAAATATCTTATAGGTTTAGCAATGTAAATGGAATATGGTATAGTCCCGCCCCTACTTTAAAACAATTGAGCGTCACCACAGGAAACTAAATCAAATTTTTTGTTTTGTTGGTTGGTGTTTCTAATTAAAGACTAGTGCTGTAATCCAAAAAAGGAAAAATTATGGTTGCAAAAGTGGTCGCAAAGGTAATCACAACCACTTTTTATATGCTGTAAATACAATTACTACCATCATCATAATTTACAGCACTAGTCTTTATTGCTAATGTATGCGAGGTTGTCATTTTTTGAGAATAATAAATAATAACAATAAAATAAATAACAAATTTAATTCAAGGTGAATTTAATTATTATGATTGTATTTTAGGTTGTTAACGATATTGAAAATAAAAAAAATTAGAATTTTATTATATAAAATAAAAAAAACTGTGTCACAAGTTGACATTTTGGACATTAGTAAATTTATAATCATTAATTGCTTATAGTAACAATTGGTCAACTTCAAAATACTAAAACAAAAAAAAATTATATCATTTTA